TAGATTTAAAAATTAGATATGGAAGACTTAAAAAATAGGGCAAAATCTCAACTAATGGTTTTCTTAAGGTGGCCATATTACAAATGATTACTTTCTGTTTTATACTTATCTACATTTTTCTAATATTGTACAATAAACATTTATTATTTCTATAATCAGAAAACAATCCTTGTAAATGCCACTTTTAAAAAAGAGAGACAGAGAAAAGGGGTTAAGTTTTTTTCACCATATGGGGTTTGGCCTCAAGATCCTTGAAGTCGTCCTCCTTCACTCCAGACATGGTTTGATAATAGTCTAGGTTCTGCTGCATTTCTATGTGCTCAGGATTGCCCACGAAGAAGGTGTGTGCTGCTGCTACGGCTTTCTCCAACTTGTTTATCTAAGAATGAAACAGGAGAATGTAATCCCAACACTGAAGGTTTGTGTCCAGATGTGCAGTTCACATAAACAGGAAACTCCAGACTCCTGAGCCTTTCTGATCCTTCCCATCAGTGTACCCAGCTTTGCCAGCCCCAGAAAACACACCTATTACAGGAATTACATACCAGAGAAAAGGAAGGAGCACAGTGCTCCAGGCAGATTTGCACCTATTTCCCAAGTGTGGCTTAAGGGTTCCCCAAATTATAGGAGGTAACACTTCAGCAGTGTTAAACGTTCTATTTTAAAGCAAAGGCCATATTGTAGGGGGAGTGCTATGGAAGACTGATTGCCCAAGTAATATATTAATATTTTCATGATTCAAATGTAATGACTGAGCTGAAGAAAGTCTAAGGCTTCAGGGATTTAGGGGTAGGGAAGAAAGAGCAGTTAACAATTAGACTATGCCTAAGAATTTTCCAAGAATATACTTTTTTTGCTTAAAAGAAAATCAAGTGTTTTTGAGACATCCAGGGAAAGAGTGGGTGGCTGAAAAATCCCAAGGTCTTTTACTAAATATAGACATGGTGTCTTTTAAAGCCCAGGGCTCATGAAGTTATCATAAAACAAATGCTATAAGAAATTTGAGGGGGAAAAATGTGCTACAGGCCCCAATAATACCCACAGCGATGGACTCCAGCATATCAGTAACACAGGTTCATATACAGAATCCAAGAAAATAAATCACTAATGATCCAGTGATTAACTACATGGGCTTTGGTGTCAGACAAGTCAGCAGCAAATCTAGGTTTAATCACTCACTTGTTGGGCTTTAGACAGGTTAAAGTTTACTCTCTAAACTCAGTTCCCCAATCTGTCATCTGGAAATAGCACTCACTAGCTACCTCATAGGATTGTTGGGACGGTTAACAAGATGATATACATGCACCTTCTAACACATGGTGCCATGCACATAGTAAATGCTCAGTAAATGTTGGCTGATATTAATATGCTAAGAAAAAGTTTTTTCTTATCATAGGTACCAGTAAATGTACACTAAAGGAGTCAGCCCTGGTTAGATGACCCAAGGTAAATGATTACTCACAGCTGTACCTCAGTTTCTTTAACCGTAAAATTAGAAATTCTCTCAGGTCTGTCGCTTTTACAGAGCACTGCCCTGCCTTTCTCTGCTGTCCATCTCCTCAAGCCCCTCCCCACCCCAGCCTTCTTCACTCCCTAAGCACTGAGGCACCTAACCTCCTTCTCTCTTGTGGACAAATGCCCATCTCCTAATCGTTTTGCTTGTTGAGCAAGACTTATTCCCCATGGCTTCCAGAATGAGCATTCTAAAACTCAATTCTGAGGTCAGCTCCTGAGGCCTGGAGAATTCTCTTCTGAATCCGGCCTCACTTACCCTTCTAGCCTCCTCCCCTGCTGCTCTGCACACACATCCCGATGCCCCAATCACAACTGATTTTTTCCTGAATACATCATGCTTTGGTTCTACTTCTCCCTCTATCTGGAATAGTCATCCTCCTTCTCTCCCTACCAATGTTTAGGAAAGACTCTTTTTTTCTTCATTTTTCTATTAATCAGTGTAGTAAGGGAAGGACTCTTGTCATCTCTTCTTTCTAGTCTAATTTCTGAGACAAAGCTACATTTTCTTTCCTTTGTGACCCCACAGCCCTACGAGCGTGCCCTGTTAGCAGCCCTTACTACATTTATTCTTAACAGCAAAGCAAGACAAAGCAAAGAAATAGTCAGGCATTTTAATTATCTGTACAAGAACTGGATGTAGTAGGTATTCAATAAATGTGAAAGAATTTTAGAAAGTGCTGTTAAGTGACATGAAAGACACAGCCAAATTATTTTGGTTTCAAGTCCACTACTCTTCCGAGTAACTGGGAGGAATGGAGAGAACTGTGTAAGCAGAATGCGTGTGGAAGGGTGGAAATCTGAGGTCCCCAAGAGTCTCTAACTCTGTCTCTACGTTGAACTGAAGGTCTGTTAGACTATAGATACAACAGATACGCAGCACAGATCCTTCTTTTCCCTCCTCAATAAAATAGGACTAATAATGGTATCCACCTCACAAGACATTGTGAGGATCGGGGCAAATGAGTCAATAAACTCAATAAACGCAAAGTGCTTTAAACAGTGCCTGGAAGTCCGTGCTGGCTATCATCATCATCACCACACAAGCCTGGAGCGCTCCAAGCCCATTTGTACACTTGGACATACGGCATACTGGCATTCCTAAAAATACTCATTTTCTTTGGAAACCTGAAAGACTAGCCAGAGGGTCCCCACAGGGAGGGCCAGGCAGCCCCTGCTGGCGACGTGGCAATCCTACGTCCTCAAAGAGAGCTGCTGGATCCGGCAGCAGGAAAAGCACCACTGGAAAACGAACCGGAAGGAAGATACTGTAGACCGCTCCTAGCTTTTCATTCGGACACTTACAATGAAATTAGGATGGGAGACCCAAGCTGCCGCTTTAATTCCTTCAGGGACACCTCCCAGACCTCCCGGAGAATAAAAAGACCATAAGTTTTCCTTGGTTTGTTCCCTAATCCCAGGCTAGACCTTTGGGCTTAGCATCTGCCCATGCGAGCCGGGCGAGGCAGGGCCCCTGCTCTCACCGGGTCCGAGGAGAGCTCCCCAGCCAGGAGGCCACTGTCCCTCTCTGCGGACACTTCCCTGGCAGCCCTCCCTCTCCGCGGACACCTCGCCAGGCCCCTGCAAACACTCCTCTCCCCACAAGGATCCGGGCCGCCCGGCTCCGGGCAGGTCTGCACCTTGAAGTAGGCGACCTGCAGGTAGTTGTAGGGGCTCCGCTTGCGGAACTCCAACTCCACCTCCTCGCTGAGCGAGTGGGCGGCAGGCGGCCCGAGGCAGCGGCGCAGGCAGGCGGCGCGGCGCAGCAGGCTCCCGAAGAAGCGCAGGTCGTGCAGGGCGGCGGCGCCGGAGGCCTGCGCCAGGCTCGGGGGCGAGTCGGGGTCCAGCTCCCACGGGAGGTCGGCGGCACACTGGGTGCGGCAGCGCAGGCGGAGGGCGCGCAGGGCGGCCCGCGAGCGCAGCGCCCGCTCCATGCTCAGGACGACCCCGGCCCAGTCCCCGCGCGCGTAGGCCGCGGTCCCCTCAGCGAAGAGCAAATCAGGCTCCACCGTGTCCCATCCCGCCTCGGACTCGACCTCAGCCCGGGAGGCAGCGGCGGCGACAGCCAGCAGTGCGGCCAGCAGCCCCAACACGCGAGCCGCCATCGCCTCCTCAGCCCTAACAGGATCGCTAGCCACCCGCCACGGCATCCGGAGCCCCACCCCCGGCGAAGCCCCGCCCCACGGGGAGCCCCACCTCCAAGCCGGACAGCGCATGCCCAGAAAGCTTGCACCGCCTCTTTTGCTTTCAACCAACCCGGACCCCGCCCCTCAGCGGAACTCTGTGCTCCAGCCCGAGCCCCGCCTCCGAGCTCGGGGCGGGCTCGGTCGCTCCGACGCCCAATGGCCATGGAATACGGAAAGTCCGCCCACACGCCTTTATGCGCATGTTCTCCCGACTCGCACCGCCCAGGTAGCCGAAGGATCAGGCGCTGTCATGGAGGACGCTGCCGCCCAGGGGCAGACGGAGGGGGTCCCTGAAAGTCGCGGAGCGCAGTCGACGGCAGGTCTGGCAGGTTTGCGGGCCGGGAGTCAGCAGGGGGAAAGAAGCCCTCGCGAGGCAGCTAGTCTCCGGGGCGGGAGGCCAAGGGCGGGAGCTCACGCCTGTGTTCCGGGGTATGTGTCGCAGGAGCCCTGGTGGAGCGCTCCCCGATCCCCGGCGGTCTGGCCCTGGTGAGCCCCTACCACACCCACCGGGCCGGGGACCCTTTAGACCTCGTGGCGCTCGCAGAGCAGGTGCAGAAGGTGAGAGGCGCGGCTGGGGAAGTGAATAACGTACATCTTCGTTCACCCTTTGTCCCGCGTCTTTCGGCTCAGACCTCAAAACCTACAAAGTGTAGCGGGGAGCATTTGTACTTGTCCGGCGAGCCGGTGGCTGACTCGAACTCTGATCTGAGGCTAACGACTCCTTCAGCAACTTGAGTGCCCATAATCTCCCTTCCTGGGAAGGTTTGCACAGCATTTTTAATATTCATTATTTCATTCGCACTTTAGGATTGCACTGTGAGGTGGGCTGTACAGAAGTTATTCTTCCCATTTGATACATGAAGAAAAGTTTCTGGGGATGTTTTAAGATCATTTTAACTCAAATTCTTCAGGGATGCCCAGACCACTTATTTTAAGCTGCTTCCCATAAGATCTTTATCCGTTACCTGAGAGCTTGTAGAACTTAACATCTTCAAGGAGGGAGGACTCTAAGTTTTGTACTGTATCCTCATCCACTAGACACAGTATTCCCAAGCCGGGTGCTTAGACACTGATTGCCAAGATAAGTAAAATAAAGAGGAAATGGGAAATAATGGAAAAAGCTTTGGAAGTTTGGACACATGAGTATTAATCCCACTTTTGATACTAACTTGCAGTGTGACTTCAGGCAGATTTCTTCTCTCTGGACCTCAGCTTCTGTATCTGTAAATGAAGGGTTTGAAGTAGGAGAGCTCCAAGCTCTAAAGCTCTGACATTCAATGAAAAACCAAATACCTTATCAAGACATCGAGTTAAAGAACCCTCTTCAGTATGCACAAATGTAGGGCCCTGCTGCTTTAACGTTTATGATGTCCCCTGTCCTTGTATACACTATTAGATTTGGCCTTGATTATGTTAAAAGATTTTTGTTTTGCTCAAAAATATTTAATAATTAATGTGCTCAAATTTCATCACATGTACATCTGTTTTGTTTCTAATTAAGAAAAATTCAAATACTTGGGAAAGCTCCTTTAATTCAAACCTATGCCTTTTCCTTTTTAGATGGCTGGGGAGGAGAATACAACTTTTTTGGATTAGGAGAATATCATGTATCTATTTAATCAGATTACTTTTATTGAGAGGGAGGCTGCCAGGGACAAAGTCTTGGGCATACAACATATTCATGTGTTATTGAGTGACCATGGTGTGTATGAGAATGGCCTGAACCAAAGAAAGAAGGAGCATAGATTTCGTCTTTCATCTTATAATCTAGTAAAATATAGAGGATGCATTATTGTGCTGCCTCCATTTCTCCAGTATAATCAATCTTTAAGAAGCTGAAGAAAAAAACACTCTAGAGACAAACAAATGGAATCAAGCATATTTACCGCCTGTGTACTTTTTGGCAGGACTGACATCTGACATCCCACTTAGGTATTAGTGTGTGTTCAGAAAGCTCAGGAGGCCTGGTATTAAGGCATGAATTTTGGAATCAGACTGACAGATCCTTCAACTGCCAGACTTGCTTCGTATTTCTATTGGACTGTATTAGGCTGTAATCTTGATGAAGGTAGGGGCTTCTCTTTCCTGTTTGCCAATGCATCAAGTGCCCAGCATGGTGTCTGACACACAGTAGTTGCTTAATATATATTTGTAGAACATAAATGATTGACTGTTTACTTGTATGGTTTCTGTTCACTTGTGACTTAACTGGCTTATATCTGACTTTTACCTTAAGATTCCTCAACTAACCAGCAAATTCCCTTAATATTTCTTAGTTCAAGTTTGAGTTTAATCTCATTTCTTTTCCTTAACTGTGTACTCCTGGAAGTTAATCAACTTTTCTTAAAAATAAGCTGGAAGTTTTTGACAGATTTCTAATGCCTGAGTGGTGATCCTTCCCAGCATATGAAGTGGTCTTTTGGCTTTGAGAATTATTTGATCTGTTTTAAGCAATTTCCATTGTCTTCAGTTGCATTTCCTAGCACATGACAGGCAGTCTTCTGTGTACATTATAACTTTGTTTCAGGTCTGCATCATAGTGCAGTCTTTTAAAATGCATATTAAGTAACAATTAGGAATGTGGATATAAGTTAAAATGTAAGTAGTTGTGATGTAAATAACTGAACTGAGGTAATGATCAGATTAACAGATACTTTCTGTGTATAGCTAGGTTCCTACATTAGCGAATGATCAGAGCCACATCACAGGTGTCTTTTGATTTTTGTTGTAAGACCCATCCCTGATTTCAGAAATGTTTGAGCATGAGAAGCTACACTTGATCTTACCCAAAAGGCTGAGAAGTGATAAGCATGAGAAAATAAATGGGAGACCTGAGAAATGCATGGGGTTTGTTAGGTAAAGAGCAAGGGGAGGCCGGGTGCTGTGGTTCACGCCTGTAATCCTAGCACTCTGGGAGGCCGGGGCGGGAGGATTGCTTGAGCTCAGGAGCTCGAGACCAGCCTGAGCAAGAGCAAGACTTTGTCTCTATTAAAAATAGAAAAAATTAGCCAGGTATGGTGGTGTGCACCTTTAATCCCAGCTACTCAGGGGGCTGAGGCAAGGGAATCACCTGAGCCTAGGAGTTTGAGGTTTCGGTGAGCTATGATCACGCCACTGCACTCTAACTGGGGTGACTGGGGATACAGGGTGAGACCCTGTATCAAAAAAAAGAAAAAAAGAGCAAGGGAAAAAGGGTATTAAATGGAGGAGAGGGAATATTCAATATGTTGGGTAGCAAGAGAGAGCAAGGCATGGTGGAGAACCAAATAAGTTCAGTGTGCTTAGAGTTCAGAATGGAAGGGTAGAAAGCTATGGGAAGTAGAAAAGAGGGAGCACTTCATTCTGTGGTGTGAGGTCGTGTCAGGATGAGCTTCTCATAAGCAGTGCTATTTGAGCTGGGCCTTGGGATAGGGAGGAGTTTACGAGGCAGCGGGAGAATGGGAAGAATAACTTCAGGCATAAGCACAGGTGTTGACATAACTTTCCACATTGGGATCCAAATAAGAACATCATACGTCTTCTCATCTTTTAACCCACAGTTCGGTTTTCTCTCACCTATAGGCTGATGAATTCATCCGAGCAAATGCCACCAACAAGCTGATGGTCATAGCTGAGCAAATCCAACATTTGCAAGAACAAGCTAGGAAGGTAAGAAGTGGCTTTGGGGCAGGCTTTCATGTCTTTCATCTAGTTCACAGGGTTGGCTGAACTTGCTTATAATCATTGTGACTCATTTGTCTTCAGTACCTCCCAGAAATGGGAGGTGTTGAGTAAAATAAAGAAATGAGCCTAAGAGGTTAAGTTTTTTTAATCAGAAAGTTCAGTAAGGTAAAGCATTTTAATGGGGAAAAAATGTTTTCATTTATAAAAGAAATGTACTTACCACAGAAAAATAGGAAAGAAACAAAAACCACTCAAAGCCAGTAATGCCCAACATTTAGAACTATAATTCTTCTAAAGGAATTTTTACAGTATAGTAGCATAGTCTAATTTTTGTTGCTTCAGAATGATCTGGATCTCATTGCTGTGGGGGAGCAGAACCCGCAGCATTGAACAGTTTCCAAATTTTGATTGGGATGATCGTTGAATATGGGCACCTATTACCTCTGATACCTAATTTGTTACATCTCTGTGGCTGGTAGGTACTGGAAGATGCTCGCAGAGATGCCGACTTACACCATGTAGCTTGTAATATGGTGAAGAAACCTGGCAACATTTACTACCTTTATAAACGGGAGAGTGGTCAGCAGTATTTTTCCATTATTTCTCCAAAGGTAAGAATATTTATTCTTTGCCCAAAATTCCACGTTAGCCTTTGAGAAATTCTTGGCACGTGTGTGTGAAAATGTAGACTTGTGGATGGTAAATGGCTTCCTAGAAGGTTGGGGTGGTGTGAGCCCAGACGTGACTAAAAAATATACATATGCTTAAAGTATTTCACTCATCATCTCTGTTAAGGGAGGGATCTGATATGTAATGCAACTGCTTTCCGGGGACGGTTCTGACAAGTATGAAGTGAAAAGCCAGAAAAGAAATTGTGGCATAAGTAGGAAATAAGCTCAGTTTGTTTACAACCTATGCTGATCAGAGCTGACTCGTTTGCCTCCTCTAGGAGTGGGGGACAAGTTGTCCACATGACTTCCTTGGTGCCTACAAGCTACAGCATGACTTATCCTGGACTCCGTATGCGGACATTGAGAAGCAAGATGCTAAAATCAGCATAATGGACAAGTTGCTAAGCCAGTCGGTGGCCCTGCCTTCATGCACTGAACCCAACTTCCAGGGACTGACCCACTGAGAGTGGGCCCTGACAGCTCTCACAACAGGGAGCTGACTGCCACCTCCTTGTTGCCTCCATTGTTGCCTTGATGGGAGGTGTTCTGAGAATTGAGGGCATGTAGGTGAATCACAGACTTCTTAGAAGGAGACCCTGTGTGACTGTAACTGCTGCTGTTACTACTTTTAGTTGGAATGGTAATGAATCATGTCACTTTCTTTTGGGATCTTCTCTAGGCCCCAGATACCCACCCAGCTTCAGAGTATTGGCCATTGTACTTTCCTTCTTCATCTCCATCTGTTCTTCCCTTAAGTTAAAGCATTAGAGAAAGAAGAGTTTCTTTTTCCCACAAAAAGGATGGTAGATCATTTTCCAGAGAGAACTGTTTTCAGTCTTTATAACCGGAAGTGTTCAGGGTTGGGGTTGAGGCAGTTTCACAGTTGGTGCAACTCCAGCTTCAAATTCATCTGGGAACAAGAATGTTGGATAGTGGAGGATGATTAAAAAACAAACTTGGCTTGGCTGAACCAGAGAGTGTGTGATTCTGGAAACTGCGCTATTGATGAGGTCTGGCTTGCCCCTTCTAGTCCATCTGCCTCGCAAGAGTGACTGGAGGATCTGAGACTGCAGCAAAGGCCGGGTTTGGGGAGGGTCTATCTCAAAACTCACAGAACTTAGGACTTGGAAGAGATGTTGGAGCTGCCACTAACCATCGTGTGAATCCACTCTGTAGTCTCCCTGCGGAGGAGATCCCAAGCCCAGCCACCCGCAGCAGAGCAAGCCCATTTAAATGGCAACTTTAAAGTGTTATAGAAGAGAGTAGGGCAGTGGGAGTGAGAAATGAGAAAAACAGCCAACCTGTTGATTATGAGTTAACTCGGATTGAAACTCATTTTGACCAGAATTATTCAAGAACTTAATGGGGGCTTTTGGCTAAATTACCTAGTTCTGATTCTGTCTGGACTTTTGTAGGACTCTACCTCATTTCCTGTTTGTTCAGCAGAGTTAATGAAATTTACAGTGTATCCAGCATGGCTGTACTTCCTCAGTGCCATATAATCGATCACAACATGCTATAAAAGGAGAGAGAGATGTGAACTTGAAGGTACAATTGCCCAAGTTTGTTTTGGGAGATGGATTTTCCTCATTCTGATCGTGGTAATTCCCTAACCCTGTGACCTTTTCCTATAAGCTGTGCTCCTTTGAGCTTTATACCATCCACCTAAGGCCTAGCACAGAACAGGGCTAGAATGTAACAGGGTCACACAGGTGATACTTGGTCACTCAGTTCACATGGGGATGTTTTGTGGGATCAGCCTCAAGTCTTGCTGGGGCGCTGCAGAGCTGTAGGGAAGAGACATTAGTGATACAGTAGTTGATTCTGAATACAGAAAATTTCCCAGGTTTGTACAAAGTTTGACCTACATGGTAATGACACATTTCAAGTGGGTATTTTATTAGTTATCAAATAAACAAATCATCACAAACTTAGTGGTTGAAAGCAACACACATTTATTATTTCATAGTTTCCATAGGTCAGGGGTTCAGGCACAATTTTGATGGATTCTTTACTTGAAACCCTTCAAGGCTACAATCAAATTTTTGGCCAGGGCTGGGTTCTCATCTGAAGCCTGATTGGGGAAGGATCTGCTTCCAGGCTCCCTTATATTCTTGGCAGAATTTCGGTTCCTCAAGGGTTGTTGGCCCGAGGGGCTCCATTCGTTAGCTGTTAGCTAGAGGGTGCCCTCAATTCCTTGCCACATTAGCCTCCGAAACATGGCAGCTTTCTTCATCAAAGCGAACAAGGATGAGAGTGCCAGTGGGATGGAAGTTACAGTCTTAGGTTGTCTAATCACAGAAGTGACATCTCATCACCTTTGCCATATTCTGTTGGTCAGAAGCAAGTCACTAGGCCAGCCCATGCTCACAGAAGGGAGTTACACAAAGGCATGACTACCAGCACGCAGGCATCATTGCATCACTGGACAGGTCTTAGAATCTGCCACAGTGCTCAGCTAAGAGGGAGAAAGTGAAATCCTGGGTAAAAGAGACAGTATTACAAAGTGATTAAGTATCATGGTGTTGAAGTTACAGGTCTGGACTTTACTCTCATCTCTGACAAAACAGCCTCCCAGCTGGCATCCCTGCTTCTCCCTCTGTCCCCTCTCCAATCCATTCTGCATACAGTCATCAGCTCAATCATTTGAAAATTCAAATCCCCCTCACTCTTGACACTTCCTAACCACTGGAGCCGGAGAGCAGTGATTCAGAGAGAAGCCTTTCTTTTCAATAAGATGTACTCCCCACACTGGCCACTGGGCAGTGCCATTGCTCTCTCCTGGTTAAGCCACTTACCACGCTCAGGGAAGGCTAGTGACAATGTGAGGTGATTTTGGACACAGCACCTCAGAATGGGATTATCCACAGTAATCACCTTTTATTCACCCACCCATCTGTCCACCCAATAACTTCATAGGTATTAAGTGCCTTCTAGGTCCTAGGTTCTGGCAGATAGCACAGCTGAATGAGACTCAGTCTGGTAGGGGGGAAACAAGCCAACAAGTGCAATAAGAAGGGCTGTGATGGGTATGCATGGAGTGTCATGAGTACCAGGGAGAGGGGCCTTACGTAGCTTGGAGAATTCGGGAAGACTTCTTGGAGGAGCTGACACCTGCTTGGGTTTTGAAAAACAAACAAGAATTAGATCTTTCTTAGAGCTACATAAAATAATGGTCTGACAAGGGATAACATCTTAGATGTGATGAAGCATCACATTTTGAAAGTAAGTAGATTGTTCACAGAATGTGGGGGCGTGAGTGAGAGGAAAGAATCTTAGATAATGCTTGAGCTGCTAGCTTAAGTGTCTGCATCAATGGTGAATGGTGACAAGTATGGAGGAGGAAGACATGCCTGATATTTCCCAGAATAATTAGTGATCTCTGTTTGCTTCAATAATCCACCTTGTTGGTCCTTCCCAGGTTCATGGGGTGTGAGTAACAGCTGGCTATAGTAGCTCCCTTTCTCTGCCCTGGGGGTCTGGAAGGAGGGAAGGAGAGCTTGCTTATGTCTTTCCTTCTCAAATTATTCTCAGTCAGTCCACAAACATTGAGGGTATTGCTGTTGTAGGTACAAAGATGATAAATACTGTCTAGTGAGCTTTTATTCTGCCACGTGTATCCATGGTCTCATTTAATCTGCACATAAGCCACCATCTGTGAGTTATATCACATTCCTATTCTACAGAGCGGGAACAGCTCAGAGACTCAGAAGCCCATGGTATACACATAGAAAGTGGTGGAGGTCAGATTCACACACAGTCCTGTTTGATTGGAGTCTAAGCATAATCTTAATCCTATTTGGGCCAATTAAAGCAGTCCAATGTGGAGCTGTAAATAAGTTAAATGACAAGAGTGGTAGAATAAGGTGAGTATTCGAGATACTGTAGGAGTACTTCATGTGAGTATCTAGTGATAGGCATGCAGAGGATGGATATTGAAACCCGGAGAAGTTAAGTAACTTACCTAAGTTCACACAACTCATAAGCAATTGAAGCCACGTCTCTGGCATTAAAGCCTGTGGGCAAAACCCCCGTGCAGAAGGTAGGGTTCACTCCTTCCCTCCAGGAGCTGGAGCTTAGGAGGAAGGAGCTACTACAGGCCTGGAGAATTACATTTCTGTAGTCTTAAGCAGCATTTGGTCCAATTGACTACTCCCTACTTCTTCATTTTGATTTGGAGAATTATCATCCCCTGTCCTTCTCCTACTTCACTCACTGTACCTTCTCCATCTTCTGACCCTCGTCTTACTGACACCTCCACTCTGGGGCTATGTCCTTGGCCCTCTCTTCCTTCTCTCTTCTAGGTGGTCTAATCCATTCCCAAGGCTTAAATTCCATCCACGTGCTGCTGACTCACATGCAGGTCTCCAGCCCTGATCTGCCTCCAAGTTTCATGCACGCTTGTTTGTCTAACAGCCTTACTTGACATCTCCACTTGCCTCAGAGTCATTACAAATTTAATGTGTCCAAACCTAAACTCGAGTTCACCCCCAAAACCTGTTTCACCACCAGTTCTCTGTTTGCATCACTACCCGTCTCATGCTGTTGTGAGGCTGGAAACCTAAGTCATCCTTGATTCCGTGTGTTCTTCCCATACCAGTCAGCAGGTCTTCTCTGCTCTGCCTTCAAAACATCCCAAACGTGACTGCTGCTCACCACCTCCATCCCTCCCGCCTTAGTCCAGGGCACCAACACCTCTAGTCTGGACGAGTGCGGCAGCCTCCTAGCTTGCCTCCCCACTTCCATTCCAGCCTCCTTCACAGAGACCGTCAGCATCATCTTTGAAAACTATACATCAGATCATAACACCTCTGTTTAAAAACATTACAAGGATTTCTCATTACACTTAGAATAAATCCAAACTTCTCACCAAGGTTGTACGTGATCTTTTACTCTCAGGACTCACCATGTTCCTGCTACGCTGACCTTGTCCTCCCCCACACCAAGCTCGTTCCTGCATTGGGGCCTTTATGTTTGCTGTCCCATCTGTTGGGAACGTTGCCCCCAAGATCTTTGCATGGTTTGTGTCTTGTCATCATTTAGGTCCCTACTCAAGTATCACTTCCTCGATTGCCCTATCTGAAATACAGACTCTTCCCATGTTAAAATAACTTCTGAACCTGCTTTGTTTTCCATAGCACTTACCACAACCAGAAATGATTTATTTCTTGCTTCTCTCCCATACTAAGTGTAAGTTCTGTGAGGACAGAGACTCTGTCTTGTTTACTGCTATAGCTCCAGTACCTAAGATAGTGCCTGGCACATAATAAATACTCTAATAGTGAACGGATAAATGGATGGATATCTGTAGCTCTGCACTTAACATCCTGCAAAGGATCTAATAGAAATATAATGTGAGCCACATGTGTGATTTAAAAATTTCTAGTAGCTACATTAAAAAAGTAAAAAGAAACAAGTGAAATTAATAATACATTTTATCTAACCCAGTATATCCAAACTATTAGCATTTCAACAAATAATACTAAAAATTATTAGTTATTTTACATTCTTTTATTTAAACTAAGAATCCAAACTCTGGTATGTATTTTATATTTATAGTACATCTGAATTCAGGCTAGCCATGTTTCAATGCTCAACACCCACTTATGGCTAGTGACTACCATGTTAGCACAAGCATAGGTAGCCTAACTTACTGTTCTTGTCCCCCACTTCTTGTGAGATCTAGAATGGGAGGAAGCTAGAAACTTCTGGCAGAGGAGGAGGAAGGTCTCTCTCAGCTACTGTGCTTCTTTTCAATCTTCTGAAGGAAGATTTGGGTATGTCTAGGCTAATAGATGCATGATCATATCCTTAGAAT